ATAGTATGCTGAAAGTGGACTAAGCGGATGGACCATTTGAGGCGCAGTCACGGTCAATATTTGCATGAAATAATCTCCAACAATAAATTACATGGACCGTACTATCGATTCAAATAAAGATTTTTTTTTATAAACTTTTCTAGCTTTTAAAAAATCACCCTTTATAATTAAAAGCTTTGTAAACGTTTAAGTGATTTTCGGCCGAACTCCTTCTTCAGTTTGTGGTAAGCGTCTTGATGTTTTTCCACTTTATTTAGCCGCTCGGAGGGGGTGCGAGTGATTACTATTCAAGGTGTAGAGCCACCCTAGAGGTTGAAAAATAAATTCATTTTTAGAAATTTATTGTAGGATAATGGGAAAGGAATAAAATTTATATTTAACCATTTCGTAATTGTTGAAAAGAAAATATATTATTTAGTTGTTATTTTGTTACAAAATGGTGGTGATAATATCTATTATTTAATCCAATGTTTTTTTTTTTTTTTGAGAGACATCCTCGGGTGGACGTAGAAAAGAAAAACAGAAAAGTTTTATGATCTAAAAACTATTGTATTTGGAAGTACCGACGGATAACGCATTTAAATCTTTCATTGTACTCAGCGCACGCTCTGAGGGGCTGCAGCAAAATAAAACGTTCAGATAATTGAAATATTTTTTTCGCTTTAACAACAATTGCATATCATTTCTAGTGCCCAAAGGTACTCTGCGAGTAAAAAAAATTGCGTTTTCCAAAATCCTCGAGTTGCTGTACCCCATAAATTCGTAAAGATATCGAGAGAACATGTTTTATTTATATAGAAAAATAGATATAATACGATGAGTGATAATCCCTAAAGTATATTTAAGTTACACTCACTTATTTTTAGAACAAATGAAATTATCAGTTGGTACGCTCTGCATTGCTTTTGTACTAGTTCTACGCCTGATGTCGTCTGTCTTATTTCTCCTTTAATCTCCTTGCCGTACACATATGAATCGCTATATTAAATCAATAAATTCTTAGATATACTTATATATGTTTGTAGTATTAAATGAACGTTGTTTGTAGTTATGAAAATCTCCGCTTAAGCGCTCGACTGGCAAAACACATACACACATGAAATTTATCCTACGGCATATGTATGTATGTATGTGGGAGTATGCACACCTGGCTCCTTCTTACTCCTAAAGCAAGAGAACTCATATGTGGAACTGTCAGCATAAATAAAATTAAGTAAATTCCAAAATCGACAGATGTGGTGCGGAAGAAACCGTCATATGTATGTAAGTGGAAATATGTTTTTGTGCAGATACTTTTTTAGCAAAATATCAAAATTGTTAGCAAATTACAACTGAAACTTAACAAACGAAGAGAAGTATTTAGGTAACTTATATGAGCCATTCGGCAGGGAACGAAATGCCTCTCTTGTGTGAAATGAAGCAGTTAACCCCTGTGAAGCTTTGGGCAGTGGCTAAAAGAGAAAGAGATTTGGTGGAGCCACTCGGACATATTTGGCATAAGGATTTACTGGTGTATTTTGGCCAGAGGTGCGACTGAAACCTATTCGCCCCAAAGTAGTAGTTCCGCTTTGATTGCGACGAGTAAAAACCTACTAAAGACTATGACTTGAGAACATCTATCTGCTGGATCCCTTAATTGTAACAGTGTTGTTGCCCAGCTAGTTGTTTTGCTAATTAAAAGTAAGGTTAATTTTCCCACCATTCAGCAAATGCGATGTACGACACAAAGCTAAAAGAAGCTATGTCCATGCAATTTATATTACACGACGGAAGCGAAAGACGACGTTACCAATGATACTTGATACCAAAGTATAAAGGCGCACCTACGAGCGCTGCCCCTGTCATGATACCGAAATCGTACTTGGACAGGATGGAAAAAAAAACAACAACCTTTGGTACAACAGTCAGGAAATTCAGCTTATATGACGAAACATCTCCAAACAAAATGAGGCTGATCGACATCAACGGAGCTCGAAATGTGATCATCTTTATTACCAGATTCTGACACATTAAAACCTATCATGGTACTTGATTATAACTGGATCGAAGGACTCGGAACCAGATGAACCATGTCGGATGGAAGACATGTATCTGCGGTACTAAAATCGGCTCGGACCACCATACCAAGAAAGCACATCAGGCATGGCAGCAAAGAACCTTGGCATACATAAATTTTCTCCCTATTGAAATTAAATGCGCTCTGCTCAAATCACTAAAACGGTGATCAGACAATTTGGGCAAATTATCGTTAGATAAGTCTTTTCAATAACTAAGATAAGTCTTAGCTAAAAGCGTCAACAAACTGATTGAACTTGATCAGTGTAGTCTCCACTCTGAAAAATCGACCACGGACTAGATATTTACTAAGCGCCAAACCCTGAAAACATCCATGAGAAGGGATTCACACACGCCACCTTTTTATAGATTTGATAGTTTGAGAAGGAGCTACCTTGAAGTGATTATGCCTGAGTTTGGTATTCTCGCAAAACTAATATGGCTATGCGAACTCACACCAAATAAAACCAAAAGCCCCATCAGAATTGAGAAATACCTCTATGAGCCTTTCCTTTTTTCAGATAAGGCTATTTTTTATCGTGTTTCTTCTTCAATCTAATATTGAGAAATATTAAAAATTTCAAATTTGTATTCCTGCTGTGGCCTTGTCCTTCTAGAATAAGTACCAGCGAAATCACCAATAGAAACGTCCGACTAGAAATTTGACGAACAATCATTCTAGCCAACAGGTGCCATTTTGGACTGGGCTTGGCAATTAAGCAATAATGTTTTTTTTTTGACGAGTAAAGACCAAATGATACCTTTCGATCATCATTCCCGTCCCGCTATATTGAAGAAGAAGCGCGGACGTCGGTGATTTAACACCCCGAACTTCTTATTGTGGGGTTATCTGAAAAGCAAGATTTACGTCAATCACCTTCAAACTATTGATTAGCTCAAGGCAAACATTGGTGCCGAAATCGACACTGTAACACCCGAGATACTTGACATGGTAATGGAAAACGCAGAATGAAGGGTTAATTTTGTAACTGCTAATAACGGTATCCATTTGATTCATATTGTTTTTAAAAACTAGTCAGAAAAATTGTGAGAAACCAAATTGAATAAAAAGACATCATTTATAAAAATCAGTTGTTTTTTCTCCTATTATTTATTCAAAATAGGTTCCATTTGACTCAACACAACTTTTGGAACGATCAACCAGCGCTGTAAAGATTTTTTTATGTCAGTTATATAAATGTTCTTCAGTACCTCGGTTACGGCTGCTTGAATGGCTGGGATATCATCATAAAATACCCCCTTCATCTTGGTTTTCAGTTTTGGAAATAAAAAATAGTCGCATGGTGATAGATCAAGCCAATACGGAGGATGGTCGATGAGAGAAATACCTTTTTTCATTAAAAATTCGAGCGATTTTTCGGTCGTCATTTGATTCATGTGGAACAAATCGCGCACAGACCTTTCTTTTCCCCAAATCCTCAGTTAAAATTCTCCAAATAGTGTTTTTACTCGTATTCAATTCCTCAGCCAACATTCTCGTAGTAAAATTTGCATCGATACCAATGATTTCACGGTCTTTTTCCACCAGTTCAGCACGATTACTAGTTTCTGGACGTCCTGCTCTAGAGTCGTCATTTAAATCCTCACGACCATTTTTAAATCGTGTAAGCCACGTATAAACTTGCGTACGACTCATACAATCATCACAATAAACTTTTTTCATTAATTTTTTTTTCATGTTTGACACAAAATTTTATATTTGCTCTTTGTTTCATTTTATTTTTGAACCATTAGCACAATTTTAGTTTTATTGAAATGGCTGTCACTTTTACATCTGTCATCCGACTCACATGATGTTAGGAGCGTTTGAAAGAGGATGAACGTATCTTTTTAATGTTGCAAGTTTTCAATAGATGGCGCTGTATGCTGTATGATTTAAATATAAAGTTCGGTTATTTTTGGGACACACCGTGTACTTAGTTGCTTAAAAAAATCAATATTCCATTCTTTCCACCACCATAGGTATGACGTAATTGGTTTTAACAATCGATAAATACTTATTAATTTGTGACTGTGAAATTAATTGAAGTTTTATGGTCAAACCAAACTTTTAGTGGACTTAAGTGATCAACACGAAAATACCTTAAAACCGTTTTGTATAAAATTTACTTAAAATTTAATTAGAATATTGGAAAACGCTCATCGTAAAAAAATATATTTAAATCCAAAAATAGCGAATGGCTATAAGAAAACATAGTCATATTATGTCCAGACTTTATTAAATGTTTAATAGACTGCAGCACCTAGGGCATCAACTCAATATGTATCACCAGCAAAAATCGAAAATCTTTCGACCGAAAACCTTTTTGTGAAAAAAACAAGAAAAAATCGTCATAAAATAGAACAAAAATACGTACTATGCATACGTAAGGTCAAATCTTTGAGAAAATTTGAGAATTTAGAAATGTTCCCTATTTTATATATTATTGCATCTCTTCATACAAAAATTATTTTGCAAATTAATTACTCCGAAAATACTAAGTTATCTGGAAGACCGTCATAGAAATAGTTACTTATAGTCGATAAACAAATCCAACACAATACTTAAAATTTCAAAAAAGAAAACTTTTTTTCTACAAATGCTTAGTCCTTTACCGCCCCGTTTCAGCCCACAGTGCGCTGCCGGAGTTATACTGGCCGTATTGGGTATAATACTCCAGTTCTGAAAGTATTCCATGCAGTAGCCACCGATGGAAGTAGAGGAAAGGAAATATCTCCCATTACGGTTAAAAGATAAAACGAATGACGCGCTATTGTGAACTCGTCAATAATCACGAAAATTATGCGCAAAAGTGCCAGAAATGCAAAAGTTAAGAATTTCACATTTCGTTTGTAAGACATTTAAAACCAATTATACATTACCTGCATTCAAACAAATTTATTCATGGCTCGTTAGGATTATTTAAAAAAAAAAATGCCAGGTCTTCATGTAAAAGCTACATTTTATTTTCATTTATTTTATTTAAATTTATTTATTACAATTTATGGTAGAAGATAAATACTAAAAGAACAAATAAAAATGCCCCAAAAACAATGCCCATTTAAATAATAGACAACAAACAAAAATAATAAAAACTATTATATTTTTTATACAAAAAACAACTTACACACACATATACACATGTGTATACCAGCGCGCATGTCGATGTCGCATGTACGAAGACGGCCAGCTTGACTTGACAACCACATTACATGTGGCGTGTATTGCCGAAACCGCCATGACCCGCCTGTGAAGCGCCCTTATTGTAGCCCATCTGCAGATTGAGCTGCCCCTCATGAGCGCGCAGTTGCTCTTCAGTGAATTCACGTTCATTCTTTTCAGCCATTTTGGGTCCGAGTGAGGGACCAGTGTATTCTGGATGCTTTTGTGTCTATTGATGTGGGAGTGAAATCACAAATTATTCACTTAATTTCAGTGGTACATTTCTTCGCTTTTCTTAAACTCAAAATTTCAACTTACGATGCGTCCGAGCGCGTAAAGCGACAATGTGACTTGTGGAATATTACGACGTTCGAAGAGATCGGCTGTTTGGAAAATTTCCTCTTCGGGTACACCGTACTTCTTGGCGGCTGCTTGGTAGCGTTGAATGTTCTCCATCAATTGGAAGTTGGTGCCACGCTCTTGGATCTTCTTCACCGAACCGGGCGCCAATTTGTTGATCAACTTGCAGAGTACAATGCCATCCTTGAGAATATCTTCGTATTGGCCGGCGGGCACTTTCTCACCCAACACAGCGAAGATCCAGTTGAGGACTTCTTGTTCTTGTTCCTTATTGCGGGGCTGTAAGTAGAGAGAAAAGGTAGGGGAATTAAGTACGTTATTCATGAATAGATATGTAAATATGTCAAAATTTAAGGTTAATTTCAAAAAAATTGAATATACAAGTCACTAAGCCACTTCCGAAAGGCTACAGAATTTTTAGAAGGAAAGTTCATTTCATGTCAGAAAAATGCACTCAGAGGGTATTTTCAACACCCTATTTACTTTATTCAATTTAAGGCATAACATTTTTTTGATTAAAATTTTAGAATTGGAAACACATACACATTTCGCGGAGGTGGCAACTCTCAACCAAATTTTAAGCCTTCTTATAGTCTTGCCACTAAGCCTGGCTTATTTCTACAACAAATGCTGAAACTTGTATGAGCCGCAATAGGTTGGAATGGGCAATAAGCATTATCCGACTTTTGAATCATTAGAACCAGATGGAATCGTTCCCTCTGTACTACAGGCTGCAGTGGGCATCCTATTCCCCTAGTAAAAATTTTTGATAGAACACTCGACGATTATATTATATATGACAAGCGCTACCTCCAAATAACGTATTGGGATGCCAGCCCGCCGTTGTTCACGATATTGCCATGAGAATTGAGAGAGGAATTGCTCTCTAATAATATACATTGAGCGTATTTCTCGACATCGCGGCCCTTTAAGAATGTCTTAACAGGGATAGTTACCACTGAACTCCGAAAAATGGGTCTCGAGGCGCATTAATTACCAAATATGCTGAGAGAGGCACACCACCGAGAGAAATTTTTTATTCCCCTCTATGGTATATTAAAGCCAACGCGCTGCTTCTCAAGCCAATAAATCAGGTTGCGACGCAATCGCACAAACTGACAACATTGCCCTCATAGCCACTGGAAAAAAACTGCAGGTATAAGCCATCTGCTGCAAAATACCATAAATAGCTGGTGCAGTGATTGCAGCTTGAATGTAAATCCTTCAAAGACCGATCTAGTACTCTTTATTAGAAGGTACAAGCCATCAGTTCTTATCATTCTTATACAAAATCTAAGGTTACATACCTAGGCAAAATCTTAGATAGCAAACCCATCTGGAACCGGAACACGACGAAAGGTGTAAGAAAGTTACGATCGCACTCTACGCCCGGAACGCGGCGATCGGCAAGAAATGAGAAGAAGACCACATGTTATGTACGGGCTATACAGAGCGGTTAAAAGTCTCTTATTATTCTACAGAGTCACTGGCTGTGGCCACTAGAGAAGGCTACCGATTGAAGCATGCTGGGAAAAGTACAGCAGGAGGAGGTGCGCTACCATCAACCCTTTTGAAAGCCTTTTAAATTTTTCTTAATCTTTCCCGTTCCACGAAGGAACCGCATAGGGCACACCCAATCACTAAACTCTACGTTTCTCTTAGAAGAGATGGAGTAAATGAATTCAGTAACACTTTCCCAACAAAAATCCCAGAGAGAAACGAATCGGAAAATGAAGCAGCTTTAGATCACAGATCCGTAGCTATCTTCATACATGGCTCTAAATTAGATGAAAGAGCAAGTTGTGTACTTTACCCTGAACCGATTTTTATAAGATAATATGTTAACCCCACCTATTACAACATATTCCGACAGCCAGGTTGCCATTAAGTCTTTTCAATGCAATCATACCACCTCAGGCAATAAACTGCAGAGAGATGCTAAACATACTCTCGACTGTATGCGAAGCGTCCGTGGTTTCAGGGACATCCAGAGGCACTACGTAGCTGACGAACTGTCCAGGAATGGGACAGTCCCAACCACAATAGACTCTGCACAACTCTGCGTGAGCATACCGCTTTCCTTGGCAAAGTAACTCACAAAGCGGACCTGGCGCGACCATTATCCAAAAGCTATAGAAAATTAATTCAAATAATAAGTTATGTAAAATTTTCTAATTGCGGTCACCCCTCGGCAGGAATGTCAACCCATCCGAGTGTATTTCTGACACAAAATAAAGCTCTTCATAAAAAACCATCACCCGTTCGGAAGCGGCTTAGAATAAACTGTAGGAACCACCATTTGTTGGAAACACATCAAGTCGCAGTACGACAAATTGGAGGAGCAGCTCGGACGAAAATCGCTTAAACGGTCACAAAGAGCCAGTTATATATGTGACAACCGAACACTGTCTAGTGTGGACTCATGGTAGAAGGAAGAGCTGCTCCTCAAACCACTTCTGCAGTGTGGTTCGTTCTCGTTTACCGGGAAATTTCCTTTTCGATTGCATGGCAGAACATGCATCGGCGGGCAATATTTATCTGCTGACTTTCACACAACCCATCAGCATTGGTTTGAGCATTTCGAACGGTGAAAGGAATCTCTTTAGCAGAACTAACATAGTTATCATAGCGCGCCGATTCGGCTAAGTGCGGCTGAACATGATTCCGTGATCATGCAACCTGTTTAGCCTGGCTTCCTCCCAACTAATGAGTTACACATTGCATAAAGAACACTCATGATAAAATACTCGTTTATACGTATATTTTTTATTTTCCTTTTTTAGTAAAAAAATGCGTAAATATTTCACTTAATTTCTCTTCACACCTATTTATGTTTGTATATTTGTTTTTTCAATGCTCCAAAAAAAGGATGTAATAATTTTTCGCTTATGAAAGCTAATCCTGCATTACATATGTGTGTACATACCTACGCACAATTAATGAAAATTGATTTAGATAACTAATACTAAAACAACATCGCAAAAAACAAAAACAAAAAAAAAATAAACAGAACAAAAACAGTGTTCAAAAATTGAAGGGAAATTGCTGTGAAACTATCCAACCGCATTTTGTAATAAATCAAAATGTTTTTCATTATTATTGTTATTTTTTCATGTATGTGTATACAAACGAGTATGTATGGGTGCGCGGGAGTTGTTGGAAATCAGCACATTTTTCGTAAAAGGATTATATTTGTCGCGCTGCGTGCTATTTGTTGTTGTTATGTTGCTATTTGCGACAGCTAATATTTATCGCAATTAATTAAAATGTAAAGCGTAAATAATACAAAATAAGCGCATAACAATGCGGCCGACGGCGTTAGTGCTTTAAATTTAAATAATGACCAACAACAATGAAACAACAACATTAGCCAAATCTATATTAGCTACAAGCAATATCCCATAAATATTTCAAAAGTAAATAATATTAATTATACGCAGATAAAGAGAGAGAGAGAGAGAGAGAGAGAGAGAGAGAGAGAGAGAGAGAGAAAGAGAGAGAGAGAAAGAGAAAGTAACAGTGGGGAAAAGGGAGGAAGAGAAAGCGAAAAACAACCAAACGCACTTAACCAAAACTCATGAATGGGCTAGTTGTAACCCTGCAGTAAAACAACAACAACAACAACAACAACAACAACAGAAACAACAAAAATCAACAACACTGTTGTCAACACTGCGAATATCAGCTACGGCTGCTTTGCATATATTTGGTGAACTAATTAAAATTAATGAAATTCGAGCAGTAAATTCATACGCTTTTCACGAGTCCGCGCTTTTTTTTTGGTTTCGTTCGCTCTTTTCTCCATCAGTTAGGTATTGTATTTTTCAACCACCAACAGGAATAGACACATGTTTGTACGCCTATGTATGTGCGTAACAAACGTACAACCATTATGAATTTAGACTGAAAAGTTTTTCATTAAAACAAATTTGCAAATTTTTCACATTAAAATGATAAGCAATTGGGGAAAAATTGCACAAAAAATGCATAAAAAATTTATGAAAATTTAGTGAAAGTGTTGTCGAAGTTGAAAAATAAATTCTGCAGAATTTTCGCTGTTTTGAATCCATTTCAGAGCTTACAGATTTCTAGCAGTTAAACGCAATCAAAAGTTTTATACTTCACTTCTCACTTGTATGGCAAATTTTTCTTTTATTTTTATTAAAATTAACACTTATTTCGGAATAAAAAGCGCCAATGAAAATTTTAGCTTTAAATGAGATTTAAATCAATTAAAAAAAAAAAAATTATGAAAGCCTCTCTGATAAAAAAAAAAAACATAAAAATATTTATTATTTCCGGAATTCAATTTTGCTTTAGCTTAAATAAAAATTATTTTATATTTTGATTTTTTCTGCATAAATAACAAAAAATATTCATCACAAAAGTCGCCGAAATGTTATGAACGATACAAAAGGTGTGTCATGTTGGACAATTTTGACGCCTGGGAGCACAAAGAAGTTGCTTTTGTTTTTCCGAACCAGTCGAAAAATTTACCGAAACTGGTAAATTGGATTGGGTCAATCGATGTTGCACTTGAGGCCAAGAATTCACCAGCCAAATCAGTGGCCATAGAAAGGAGCAGATAGTCTTCACTTGTCTTGATGAAAAACAATTACTTTCTTGTTGACCAAAACTGGACGTCACTATGCGATTTCTTGCCTCTGAAGAACGAATTAAGAGTTTGGCCGTAGGAAAGAAGCTCATAATGGATCCCATCAAATACGCAACCAAATATTGTTGGCCATCAATTCCTGTCTTAGAGGCATTTTTTTGCCAGCTATCTGCTATTCGATCACGAGCGTTTTCGTTTGACTTAAGTTATGAACTTTTTATCACGCATTCATTTCAGGAATTTAGTATTCAAGATAATGTGTATAGCTTATATCGGAAAAAACTTAGTATCATGTGGAATATCCATCTGCACTCGGATCGAAGGCTACAGAGGAAAGCCAGATCAATTATGAAAAGCCTGAGTAGCAGGTTAACAGATTTAATGCACGAAAATTCTATGTATGAAACGGGATAGTTTTAAGCGCGGAGTACACTCATGTGAGAACTAATGAGATAATCGAGCGTCCGGTGTGCAGGGTACGCGGATTTTGTAGAGTGAACACTGAGTACTCGAACAAAAACAAAATTCTGTTAGTTCCTCATAATTACCGATTATTCACCATTAGGAGTATTTGATTTTAAAGAACGTAAAACGAAGCGATTGACTCATTATATTTGATTCCCTCAATGAAAGTGGAATAAAAGAATAAAAAGCAGAAAAATAA